GGGGGGTAGGATAGCTGCAATTAGCGGCAGGAACCACGAGGAGGCAATCAAGTCCCGGGGAAGGATTTGTGCCGGAGCCTGCAGGCAGCCCAGGTCTGGCCTCTCCCTGTCCCCTCGCTGTCACGCCGTCCCCATGCGATTTCTTGCGAGAATCCGAGTCAGAGCGAACAGAGAGCGAACAGCCTGGTGCTTCAGCCTGCCGTGCAAGCCGAGAAACAGTTTGCCAGCCGTGCTGTAACTGGGGGCCTCTGCAGTTTGACTTGTAAGAGGACACAAAATGAACCAGGCGTGCAGAAAAGACACACGCTTGTCATCTCATTTGTGAAAGGATGACAGTGATTGACAGCCAATATAATGGGAAGAAAGCAAACAGGCTCAGAGGCCATCAATTAACTAGTGAAAGCAAGCTGTAAGACACAGCAAGGGCTATAGACAAAAGCTGTAATATGACTTTTTTAATTTTTTTTTTTTGTATGAGCTGAACCTGAGACTTCTATCACCCTTTGCTTCAGCACATTATTCCAAGAGCTTCTCTCTTGAAATTTCTAGAAACGAGACTTTCCTCTGTCACAATAGCTGCTTATTCCCACCCCATCCAGAGACGGGTTTTTAACAGGCGCTGCCCCATCCCGAGCTCGGCAGGGCAGGATGGCGCTGGCACAGTGTTTGGCAAGATGCCCCCAGCATGGGGTCTGCGCTTTCTCGTGGGTTTCCGTGTGCCACTGGGGCTGCCCTTGCCCATCACGAGGATCCCGCTCTGGTCGTTTACTCCCCAGAGGGTGACCCGTCCGACTTGTATCACCCCGTGTCTGGCAGGCTCTGGAGTGCGGCAAAGTAAATGGGAAATTATGGGCAATCCCCTTCTGATGCTTTGCTCAAGACGAGCGAAGGGCAGGGGGAGAGGGCGCAGGACTGCAGTGAAAGTGATGAAGGAGCTGATGACATTCCCTGTGCAGCAGCTGACACATCACGGCAGGACTGTCATCTCTGCCCATCCACTTCCCTTTCTTCCCACACACCTCCCATGATTTCTGGTCTTTTAAATACACTGCCTTGAATTCCTGACTTCAAACCATTGAGAGCGTCTCCCAGTACTTAGAAAAGTTCATCTGGGCGTCAGGCCGTGGTTTCCTCGAGGCTGAACGCCAACTAGGCGAGAGAGACCGAGAAGGCACGGAGCGCTTCTGGTGAGCTTCCTGGGACCCGGCACCATCTGAAAGGCTGCCGCTGTTCCGTGGTGGGGTTTCACAGCCCCCCAGCGTCGCTGCGTCACGTGTAACGCTTCAGTGTCCTGTGAATCCCCCAGCACCAGGTGCTGTACGCAGTGTAATGCGTTAGTGGGTCGCTATGGAAATCTGCTTGTATTTTAATTTGGTTACAAGTAGATGGGGGAGAGGGAAGGTCAAACCACAATTCTGTAACGCTTGCTTTATCCAGAGCAAAGATTTATTCACTGAAAAGATTCCTACATATCCAGAATTTCATTAGCATAGAGTGCACTTTTTCTTTTTTTTTTTTTTTTTTTGCTGGTTGCATAAACTAATACAGAAACTGTTGTTAATACTAACAATTTTTAATTAATTTAATAGCAATTCTGGAAGACACTCAGTTGATAGAAAATATAAAAAAAAATTTTTACTGTACAAAGTTTACATCACATTTGAAAAGAAAACGTGTCCATTTTCACCATATTACAGACTCCATTTACATTCACTACTGACATGTGGCTTCTGTAGCAGCATTGTACAGCCAGCTTCACATTTACAACTCCAAATCGGTATGGGCTTACCGTGCGTCACGCCCTTCCACCAGCACACAAGGAGACAGTACGTGTGACCATAAAACAACACAACCCAACGACTGTCGCTTCGTTTGCAATGTGTTGAGGGATAAGAGAGCTCTGCTCTCCTCGCCGCTGTGCGCCTCCACTGGGTTTGGTCCATTTTCACGTGTCTTACACCAGCTGATTAAAACAAAACTGGTCCCAGAGACAGTAAGGAGTCTCTTGGCCCAGGAGACTGGGATTTGCTTTCCACAGCAATTTATGGGTGTTAAACATAAAACCAAGGTCAGGCTGAATTAGAATCCCAAATCTCATGATTAAAGGCAGGTTTTGGAGCCCCTCCTGTGCCCAGGACTGGAGTAGCAGGGCAGGATTCCCAGCGGGAAGCCACCAGCAGTGCTCAGCTGGGATGAGTCTCCAGCAGCGTGCTCTAAGTGTGGCAGGAAGGGACAGCAAGTTCTGCCGCAGAGGGGAGGAAGCCCTGCCTAAAGCAGGAGGCAAACGCGCCTCTGGGGCTGGAAGGTCTTCACAGCCAGTGTTTGGATTACACCCAAGGGCAGTCGTAGGAAGGAGAGATGGTGGTTTTTAATTATTTTATCTGGCTGGTCATCTAGTGCTGGCTGTCCTTCTAGCCAGTCATATTATTAGAAAAAACATTGAGAATATATTGCTTTCCCAGCGTTGTTCCTGCACATTTGCACAGCAGCATTACTGCGAGGAAAACCGTCTATTTGCATGTTGGGCAACTGAGAAGTTCTGGGTGTCCCAGCTTTTGGGACCTGCTTTATGCACACAGATGGCAGAAATAAATAGTGAGGAGCGCACTGAGGCTGCTGCCGCCCTCAAACACGGAGTTACCTGAAGGGCTGCTGAGCGCTGCAAGGCTACAAACAACAACTTGCACCCAGCAGCAGCTTCTGCTCTTCTCTAAGGCAAATGCAGAGTGAAGCCTACGCAGGGTTTCAGCTGATGGGTTCCTAATGTTACTGGCGCAAAGCAGCACGTTGTTTCCTGCTTTAGACTTGTGTGGTGCTGCTGTTATTTAAGCAGTATTTGCTGGGAAAACAACTTCTGCTTAAAAGTGCTGACACACAAAATTATTGAGAGCGAGCAAACAGTAGCAAGTTTTGAAGAGAACCGTGTGGTGTACGTTAAAAACACAGTCTAGTTGGAGGGGGGTTATTTGCTGTGTAAAGCTGGGGGAGATGAAGGGGGACAAAAGAGTACCGCAGTGTCATGCTTGGCTGCCACCAAACCATTTTTTTCTTTTATATGAGACACATTTAAAAAGTAACTCTATCAAAGTATTTGTAAGGGAATATAACTGATTTGCACATAGTAGGAGTGAAGGTGTCTGCTCAAAAGAAGTGAGGAATTATTTTTTTGCCACTCAATTTTCTAGCAGTCAGCCACCCGTAGGCAGCCCAACGGCCCGCCTGTCCCCTTGCCTGCCTTCCCCAGGACATCGCAGCTCCTCCCGTGATCCTCACGCCAAACCCTTGCGATGATGGCGAAAGGGGGAGTGGGGGGTGTAATGTGCTGTGCTGTTGGGGAAATGACGTTTGGTGACGCCGGGGAGCCCTGAGGAACTCTCCCAACAAAATGGAGTACTGTAAGGACAGACAGGATCTGACCATTCAGTGTATGACGAGGGTTCTCCCACTGCCCGGCTGGCAGAAGAATGTGAAGGGGAGGCACGAGGGAGCCTTTGCTAACGCTGCCTGCAGTTCATCTGCAGGTGGGACAATGCACTGGCACCTTAAATGTGGTCATTGGGTGTATCCCTAATAACCTGCATATTACATGTTGGGGGGGGGGGTCATCTTAAAATTAACCTTTGAAACAAGTCTGAGCTGTTCAGTCAGATCCTCTAGACCAAGACGCAATTTTCCTGGTTGCAAGATTTCTGTCATTCCTAGTTTTAAAACAAACAGCTCACAAACTTAAATGTGACTGGCTATAGGAGCTCTGCGTGTGTGAATGACTTTGAATCTCTTAACAATCTCTGTGCAACAAGACCTTATTTATTGCATTATTTCAGGATGGCTTTTTCCCTTGTCTGTTGCCTCTCCCTGCAACTCTGGAAAACATCTTTTCTCCTATAAATGAAATAGCAATTAGGGCAGTAAGAGCCATGTCTGGCTGGTCAGCGTTGTTTCCAGAACTGCTGCCAGTTTCAAGGACTACAACTTGTGTCTACAAAAGAAGAATGTGGCCCCTGTGCGCAGATCTAGAACAAGTCATGGCTTTATTTTTTTAAAGGCTAGCAACTCTTAAGCTTCCTAGGGGATTGTAGGAGAACAAGCAGCTTTTATTGCGAGTTCTGCGTAGAAGAGTCGTTAATTGAGACACAGCCTACGTGATCAGAAACTCTCCTGCCAGCCGTAGATTTATACGAGTGTAACTTAATTCAAGGTAACTCAGAGCTTGGACCAATCCTCCCAAAACAAACCTCAGAGCTCAGTGATTGGTTTGGGTGAATCACAATGCGATAGATTGCTTTTTACCTTAATGAAAGAAAAAGCTCCGGCCCCTCGTGCTAGATGCATTGCCATTCCCAAACAAGGCAGTTCCACTTGTCTGAGGGAAAACAAACGCTTTGAAGGCAGATGACAGCTCCTGTTCACCACAGACACAAGAATGAACTAGAAATAGTTCTTCTTTTCAGTGCTATTTGAGAATGGCTGTAGTTAAACTTGATTTACTGTTTATTATGTTTTAAAAAATATAGTTCACACAAAAGTATCATGTAAACATTCTTTAAATAACTGCTGGTGCTCAGGCAGAATTCAGACTTTACGAACAACCCAGGACTGTGAACCGATGGTCGTGCGGCTTTCAGCTGCGGCTGCACCAGTGTCATAGCTTGGAAGATTCAGTGAAGATTTCTGAGGCTTTGTGTAAGCAGGCAGACAACGTTATCACAAGACAATTACACACCACGCTATATCTTTTGATTACTTGGTTCCAGGATTCCCAAGCCAAATCTTTCAAAACGCAGGACAACTTTGCTACTGTTAATGCTGAAAAGAGTGGGGAGGGAGAGGAGAAGGGAGAGGGGAAGAGTTACTTATTTTTAATTTTTCTTACAAAGCTACAGAGCATAAAGCTGTCTTTTCCTTCACCCTTAAACCGTTGGCATAGCTAGAACATTTTCACTTCAAAATGCCTTCCTACACACACGCGCACGCAGGTGACGGCAAGGCAGAACGGCCTTAATAGGTGAGCTCTTGCAGGAGACTTGCTCAGAGAATGAATACGTGGGTGTATTTGTCCTCACTGAAGACAGCAAAAACCTCCTTGGTTCTTGGTGCGTATTCTCCTCTGTCCCTGTCCTCTCCCCTCCAAAACAAGATAGTTTTTCAAAATTGTGAATCGGGCAAGAATGAAAAAAGACCTTTTTTTTAAAAGGCACATATTTGCTGTGTTACCTACAGTTCTGCAAAGTCTGATCTTAAGTCAGACGTTTTGCTGAACAGGGGATGTAAACAGAAGCAAATCATAAAATTCACAGCACTCGATGTGCAAGGGGAGGAGGAGGAACCGAAGAGTGCTCTTGCTTTCCTCCTCTTTTACACAGCATCGTGGCTGATCCCAGCTGACCCACATGGGCCAGTTCTGGACACCACTTGTGGCTTGGTCCCCAGTAGGCTAAGGGACAGCAGTCTGCCCCAAGCAGAGCAAGGACCAGCCTTTCCGCTCAGGAATTGCACCAGCTTCATCCAGCCCCTGACAAAATTGCCGGCTCTGGTCCCAGGGAGAACTGGCACCACCTGGCCCTTCACTCACGTTGGTTTGCAGGGTGAGTGGAGTGTTCGGTCATCGGCTGTGCCTGTGAAAATGTCCCCGTTACCTTTGTCACAAAGCCACAGTCCAGCACTAAGGACGACAGACAGAACCTCAGGTTGCAACTGGGAACCTGCACCCCTCTGTCTCGTGAGACTTGCTGGACACACGCAAGTCACACCAGTTTCAGGGAACCCCCAACCTGCTGGGCAGGACGCACGGCCCTCACTGCCGCTTGCGCCTGGTTAGTTAAGAGAGCAGATCCCCAGACCCTCCCCAGGAGGAGGTTACAGCCTGTCGAAACGCTTCAGGAGTGAAAGATGGCCACGTTGTTAGACAGTAACTTCTCGCAGACAGGAGTTGTTATTCAAGCTAACAGCCCACACCAAGCGCAAAAAGGCAGAAAAGGAGGATTCGGATAAAGTGTTGATTATGTCCATGGGTTAATTTCGTAGTTTGTTTTTGCTTTTTTAAATGGAAGGTGATTGTCCAAGTTGCCGGTTAGGATACAACACATGGAAGCATGCAAGGTGGAGCCCATTATTGCACCAGTAGCTACAACCTACAAAGAAATATGGGAGGGAAGGGAAAAAGACACCATGAGAGTTAGTTTTCAGTTATTTAAAGCAAGCCGTTGAGAACTATGTATTACAAAGCTTACTCCAGAATAAAGCACGGGGTTAGTGCAGGGTTTCTCAAAGGATTTGTCAGAGGGGATGTGAACGTGTCTTTACTGGGTTTTGAATCTGAGCAGGTCTCTGGCTGAGGTGGCTACAGAAAGCCTCCAAGTGTGACTTGAACATAATGCCGTTTCCAGGGGATGAACAACTACTGAGCTGCCTGCACTTTCATTTCAATGAGCACTAATTCAGCTGTCAATGCTGATAATTAATACTGACACTGAAAGTACTTCTCCCCTATTAAATGCTTTGAGCAGAGAAAAAGTATTAACGTATGCAAATTGACAGGAACCATTTGTGGGGGTGGGGAGGGGGTGTCGGTCAGTCTATGCAGAGAAAAACAATTAGGGTAGCTACTACATAAGACATCGTTCCGCAGTTCCACAAGCTGTTCAAGAATAACTCCCTATGGAAACACTAATCCAAAATAATCACTTGGCAAATTGCTCTGGAATTGAGCATTCTCCTGCACGGACTGCCCAAATGGGAAGCGTTACTTCAAGTTCATTTCCAGTGTGACATTAGAGGACAGTGGGAGAGTGTGATTATCTGCATGGGAATGTGCAGACAGCCTGGGCTCGGTCTGCTCTGTGCTGTCGGGTTAGGTACGTTGAAAGATGTCACATCAGTCATCAGAGTTAATGATGCAATGCAAGCGAATCTTATTGTAGAGAGAAATAAGGGCATGCAAGTGTTGACACACAGAACCATACTGTTGGAGCACAGTGTGTTTCTGTAGAAAGGCAGAAATATTACCAAAGGACGCTGCTGTATCATGTAAATCTCCTGGCAAAAAAACTGCTGTCTTCATAACATAAAACAAATTAAATGCAACAATCTTCCTTGGAGGCAGGGGAGGATTAGTTAAAAAAAAAAAAAGCGAGGAAATGTCACAAGTGAAGCTGATGACTTGGAGGAATGGATAATGGAGCTGCAAAGCATGTCCTCAAGGTAGCTGGGTATAGATCTGGGAAGGCAAGCTGAGCCTGGAAACAGGGTTTGTATGCTTTCGGCCAGAAGAGGGAAGAAATTGTTTCCCTTAAATTATGACTGAAGGACAGATAAGCAGCAGCAACTACATGCAAGTCCATTTTTTAGCTCAGATTTTGTTGGTTTCTCTTTCATTTTTTATTTTAAGAACTCCAGACACTTGATATCACAAGGACCGAAGCGTAGCTGTGAGCTCCGCTGGAGTAGTGAGCGTGCAGGGTGCAGAAAGACACCTTGCCTCCCCACTGCCAAGCGTAAGGCCGTCGCAGCCCTCTGTTGTACCTTTATAAACGCGTGCTGCGACACGCGTGTATACCTATCCAGTGTAAGGGAAAAATACCAGGCAGTTCTACTTATCAGTGAGCGAGTAGTAAGCATTTGATCTTTGACAGTAAGTGTCCTTTTGTATAAAGATGAGGCCACCGTCGTGGAGAGGCATTTCGCATTTAAAGTTGTTAGACATCGTAACGTATCGGGGATCCAGTACAAATGTTAGGGAAATCGCACAAAAGAGAAATGGCGAAATTGTCAACCAAATCCCAGAAGCAGCCAACCCACCCAAACACAAAATGCCATGACAGTCGCCAGACAAGCATGGTATGATAAGGTACTGCAGGAGGATTGTGAAGGGTTGTGGGAAAGAAAGGGGTAGATTAAACACCAAAAAAAGGAGAAAATAAGTATTAGAGGTTCTGTAAATGAAAATAAACTGTGAGCAAAGAATGTTGTGAATGGGCACTGGTCGCAAATGTGTCTGATCTCCCCCAGACTTTGAGAAAACCCATTGAGGTCACCAAAATGTAACCCTGTGCCTCGCAGAACTATAAGCGTGTTCCTTGCCCTGTGGCTTGCGGGCCCAGCCTGTCCACTGCGGTCGGTCGGAGCTACTTGGGGTAGCAGCGGCCAGCAGTGGAGAGGAGACAACTGACATAAAATTGGTGTGGTGTGGGGGCTTCCGTCTCTTGGCTCCAGAAGTTGTATCTGCTCTGCTTCCACTTGGTTTTGGTACAAGTGGAACTAGGAACCGTCCTTCTCTAAGAGTGGCAGGTTACTCATGGGAAGGGAGGCTGAAAGCTTTAGGCCTTGTGGCTTTGTGCTAACCCACTCCGAACTGCAATGAGTTTGATATTCTGGTCTGGTCTGTCGCAACGGTGTTGTGGGGTGTAAAGTCAGGTGTTTTGAGAGACTTGTTCCAGTTCTGATAGTTTACGGATGCTTGATCGTATAAGACTTTTTCTTCCTCAATTGCAACACAGAACCTGACTTTGAAAGTATCACAATCTGACAAGGATTTATGCTGACTTCCTGTGTATTATCTTTCCTTGGTCCAAATCTTGACATAATTCCAACTTAGACACTCAGTCCAAGCATTGCAATTCATCCCTAGCTGTCAGTGTATTGCATCTTCAGGATTTCTAAATCACTCGTCATGTGATTACCACCTACTTTGGTTTTTCCCCAGAAGTCAATTATTCTGAGACAGGACTAATGCTGCCTGTGCAAACTGGGCACCTTTCCATATGGGGGGTGGGGGGTTGGATTTTTTCCCCACATACTCCTTGAGGGAGGCTACGAAGTCAAGACTCTTCCAAAATTCAACAGTTCAGTTTCAAAGGGAAATGGTGACACATTCTTTGATCCTTCCCTTCCTCAGTCAATACCAGCCATAACAGGAGAAATCCTAACTGCTCTGGGGTCAGCGTGAGCCCTTTCCAATACTGTTGGTAGATACTCTCTGAAACCAGACATAAAGGTGGGTAGGTAATCTACTGAAGGAGGGAGGTCAAAGTTAAAGTAAGAAATTAACTCTCTGAAGCACGCAAGCTTAATTGCATAATTTCCTAGTAACTAGAAAAGCAGAACAGCACGCTCAGAGGCTCTGACAGCCCCCAGGAAGGCCAAAAAAGCACAGAAATGACCAATTAGCAAATTCTGAGCGGCATAAACGTTCTTAGCAGCAGCAAATACTCACTCAGCAGACTTCCAGAAATGCCCTGGGTGGGAGAGCCGACGATTCAATTTTGGCAGTTTTTCAAGCATATCCATGAGGACAGTGAAGCTAGGTCTCTCACTGAAATCAAATGACCAGCACGCCGAGAGAATTTCCTGCAAAAGGGTATTTGTGGCTCATCATCCCCACGTAGTTCACAGGTCAACTGTGCAGACCAAGCAACTCATTGAGCTCTGTGCTTTGTGCGAGCCTAGCCAGAGATTCTGTTTAATAGAAGTCTTGGACATTCTAATCATCAAACAGTATGTTAGTTATGGGCAGAGGCTTAGCATCTAACCTGGTGTCCCATTCTAACCCGCTCTCTCTCCTGCCCTTTATCTTTAGAGTTGTAAGAGTAAAATAAATCTCTTTAAGCAGCTCCCTCTTTTCCTGATAAACAGCTATACGGAAGGATTCCTGCAACTGAGGTACTTACATTGACTTCTTTCCCCAAACTAACAGTTGCAAGGACTTGTTTCACTCCTTCACCACTCCCAATCTGCCAGATGAGTGCCTCTGCAGGCTGGTTCTTGAAAGGCCATTCTCGGGCTTGGAGCTCATACCACACAGTCCTGCAACAGCAACAGACAAATCAAACCTTTGCATGCTTTTAGGAGAAAGACACAAAACCCGGCACTGTTCCATTTTCTTCAGATAAATTCTGGAAGGTATACAGTGCTGTGCAGGAAATCCCTCCCGCCCATGACTTTTGTAGTAGATGAGAAAAACGCATCCCAACAAGAATACCGAGTCTACGAGAAGAGGACCGCTGACTCGCAAGGCTCAGGTCTGCAGCAAATCTCATTTAGCAAGCTCCTGTGGTACTCTGAGGTGTTCCTTTCTTACCCAAAGGCATAGATATCTGCAGCTTTGGAGAAAGGGAGCTTGTCTTCATCTTTCCCAGGGGCCATCTCACGAACAATTTCAGGGGCCAGGTAACATAACCAGTCATGAGGCAGCTTCAATTCATTCTCCCTCCTGAGTTCAAAAGAAAGAAGTGGTACTGAAACACTACTACTTCAACAAAGAAGCTTCACCTAATGCCTTGACTTTACTCAAATATGTTCACTGACATTTCGTTCCTAATTTTCTTGCCATATTAAAAAGCACACATGTGTTAGCCTGACTCTCCAGCTCGTTCTTTGGCTTAAAGTTTTGTTTGTGTTCTGTGTCTTAATCTATACAGAACTTCCTAGCTCTGTGCTACTGGAACTGTAGAAAGAACTCTGCTTAAAAAAAAAAAAAAGAGAACAAAGTGCATATTCCAAAAACGTGTGTATGTACTAAAGCAACCAATATTCCTCACTTGTGTGATGTAATGCATCCAAACGTTTCCCTACTTGATCATTATTTAATCATTCTACAAGTGGACCAAGCACTGAAACCTCCACTTACCTTCCTTCCTGAACCACACCCGAAATTCCAAATAATCCAAAGTCAGTGATCACAACCTTCCCATTGTCATAGAAAACATTCTTGGATTTCAGATCCTTATGCACAATCCCCTTTGCGTGAAGATACCCCATGCCCTGGGAAATATATGCAGAGATGTAAATTTTTTTTTTTTTCATTATTTACAAGCCTGTAACTCTGGGCATGCTTTGCTTTCTAATACACATTTAGTCTGATTTCTCCAGCATAAATGATTAATTGTAAGCAGGGATGCGGCAGGTAGCTGAATTATGCAGGAAGGGTGCAAGGCAAGTCTGCATAATAGCGCTGCTGGACGGGTACTCTTAGTTGAAGCATGAAGTGGCCGTGGGCTTCACAATTCTGACCAAGTCTGTATGTGTAAGAACAATGAACAACTGACACGAGTTGTCTCTGTTAGCATAACATACCCTTACCTTAATGATCTCCTGTGCTATCTGCCTGGTTTTGTTAATATCCAGGGATATCTTGGGGTCCCTTACAAACGAGTGAAGCGTCCTTCCTTTGCAGAAGCTACCAGAAAGAGGAACAACAGTCTTTAAAAAGGTCTTTAAAATATTGAGCATGCTCAAAGATATGCAACAAATGCTTATGTATTTCTTCAGAGACCCAGAGTTGTTATGCTGCTCTGACATCTGAAGTCCAGTTTTCAAAATCTGAGCACCAGCATGTGCAGCTGGTGCTACTGGTGACTTGGGCAGGAAACTTCTTTTGGAACTGGCAGTTAGAAATGACTGTGAACCTCCTCGCCAGACTATGAGAAGGCATGCCCTTGGCCTTGCTTAAATTCAGTCTGCATATGAACATCCCAAAAAGTTGTTATTTAGGGTCTAAATGATCCTCATCTCAAGTATTAAAAATGGAAGAGAGGAGAAAAATGATATTTTTGCTTAATCAGCAAGTGTCCCTAAGAGGAACAGAAAGGAAGAAATAACTGTTGCGTTATCAGCCTGGTTTATTGTCACTTTGCTGAACTGGAACCATCTGGAAGTAGGTGGCAAAGGATCAGTCCGTTCCAGGTTTTTTTTTCCTCCTGCTTTTGAAATTTTATTATTTAAGAATTCAAAAATAAAAAGAAAATTGCCAAAAAGTATATACTCCCTAAAAGGAGACATCCCTAGTATCCAAAACAGACTGAGCAACACAGACTGCATTCATGTCTGCCACCTCCGGACTACAGCAAGAGGTTTATTTTTAT